GCAGGGAGCCCGATGTGGGACTCGATCCCAGGACCCTGGGATCATGACCTGAGCCGAAGGCAGACGCTTAATGACTGAGCCACCCAGGTGCCCCCTTTTTTATTTTTTTTAAGATTTTATTTATTTGACAGAGATAGCGAGAGCAGGAACACAAGCAGGGGGAAGTGGGAGAGGGAGAAGCAGGCCCCCCGCTGAGCAGGGAGCCCAATGCAGGACTCAATCCCAAGACCCTGGGACCATGACCTGAGCCGAAGGCAGACACTCAACTGACTGAGCCACCCAGGTGCCCCATGGAGAGAGAGAATCTCAAGCAGACTCCATGCCCAGCGTGGAGCTGGACACAGGGCTCGATCTCACAACCCTGAGATTATGACCTGAGCTGAAACCAAGAGTTGGATGCCACCCAGGCGCCCCATGTTAGACTAAATTTTTTAATTCTGATAACAAAGCCTAATTTTGATAGCAATAGTTCTACCCTCTCCCACACCCTTTTGCCAACACTGCTCAGAAGTGTAACAATTTAAGGCTAATCCCTCTTATAACAAGGCTTCTAAAGGCCACTTTTGATGGCTTATACCCATGTCAAGATTGTCCTCTTATCTTACAGTTCGTTCTGACCTCCAGGGAAGTTCCTAGTTCTTAAACCAGGAAATCTGCCTCTTCAGGCCATGGTATTCCTTTTATTTTTTTGAGTAAGTTCCTGAACTCACCTGAACTCCAGTTATGGTTGTTTGGTTGACTCCAAAAGGTTCTATAGAAGTGACTTCCAACACAGCAGTACCTGCAATGGAACCAGCTTTCAGGAGCCCTTCGCCATCCTCCTCGATGACAGATGAATTAGGGAAACACTTGAGAACACGGGAACTCACAAAGGCGGCCCCTTCCCTAGGGAACAGATGGAACAAGTGGCATCTCTTGGGGGCTCTGACCAGAAAGAAAGGATATTGCCAGGATTACTGTTAGAGACTTACTCAGGAAACCACTTGCCATTCTCCATGTTGTGTGCTTATTTGTTCCTCAAGTAAAAGTCTGCCTTTGGATTATGCCTATCTCTTTAAAAATCACATCCCATCACATATTTATCATTAAAAAATCATTCAGCTTGGGGTGCCTGGGTGGCTCAGTTGGTTAAGGGTCTGCCTTTGGCTCAGGTCATGATCCCAGGGTCCTGGGATCGAGCCCCACATCGGGCTCCCTGCTCAGCCAGGAGTCTGCTTCTCCCTCTGCCTCTGCCCCTCCACCCTCACTCGTGCTCCTCCTGCTTTCTCTGCTCTGTCTCTCAAATAAATAAATAAAATCTTAAAAAAAAAAAATAAACAAAATATTCAGCTAAAAGGATTGAAAACAGATATTCAAACAAATAGTTGTGTGTGAATATTCATAGCAGCATTATTCACAACAGCCAAAAGGTGAAAATAACCCAAATGTCCAACAAAAGATGAATGGATATACTAAATATGTTATATCTATACTGTGGAGTAGTAGTCATTAAAAGGAACAAAATAGGGGCGCCTGGGTGGCTCAGTCGTTAAGCGTCTGCCTTCAGCTCAGGTCGTGATCCCGGGGTCCTGGGATCGAGCCCCGCACCGGGCTCCCTGCTCCGCGAGAAGCCTGCTTCTCCCTCTCCCACTCCCCCTGCTTGTGTTCCCTCTCTCGCTGTGTCTCTCTCTGTCAAATAAATAAGATCTTTAAAAAAAAAGGAACAAAATAGGAGCACCTGGGTGGCTCAGGTCATGATCTCAGGGTCTGGGATCGAGCCCCGCGTCAGACTCCACGCTTAGCGGGGAGTCTGCTTCTCCCTCTCCCTCTGCCCCTCCCCCTACTCATGCTTGCTCTCTCGCTCTCTCTCTCTCTCAAATAAATAGGTAAAATCTTAAAAAAAAATAAAAGGAATGAAATATTAATACATGCTATAATGGGAAGGAACCTAGGAAACATGTGAACTGAAAGAAGCCAACACAAAAGGTCACATGTTGTACGATTCCATGTAATAAATGAAATACACAGAAGACTTAAATTCACAGAGAGAGATGATGAGTGGTTGCCAGAGGCTGAGAGGAGGGAAGAACAGGGAGTGACTGCTGATGGGTACGGTCTCCTTTGATGGTGATGAAGATGGAACTAGACAGAGGTGACGGTTGCACAATACTGTGATGTACTGAATTGTCCGCTTTAAAATGGTTAATTTGGGGGCACCTGGGTGGCTCACTTAAGCCTTCGGCTCAGGTCATGGTCCCAGGGTCCTGGGATCGAGCCCCGCATCGGACTCCCTGCTCAGCGGGAAGCCTGCTTCTCCCTCTCCCACTCCCCCTGTTTGTGCTCTCTCTCTCTCTCTCTCACTGTCTCTGTCAAATAAAAAAATAAAATCTTTAAAAAAATTTTTTAAATGGTTAATTTTATGTAACATGAATTTCACTTCAGCTAAAAAAACTTATTTGTGGGTTAAAAAAATAACCTAGAAGGCAAGAGTTCTTTCCATATTCCTAAGGGTAAGGTTGGAACCTAGCCTGCCCTTCCCCACTCTCCTCACCTGTTGGTGTGGAGTCTGAGCTGGGAATTCATGGGCATCAGAATTTGCTCAGGCTGGCACTCTGGAAAGAACAGTTGGAGTTTCTCAAACACCTAAAGTGAGAAAATAATGTCTTCCTCATTTCTGGAAAAGACAAAACGATGACCTTTGCTCGCATATCAACTACAAATCAACGTCCACCTCACTTCAGCTTAGCCTGAGGGTCCACGACACTCTTTTCCAAATGAGCCAGACACTTAAAACGCACCTTGGTATTCTATAGAATACAAATCTAATATTAGCCCTGCTTCTGACAAAGCTACACTGACCAACCACATCCTCTGTATCACTTAGATATTAGGTATAAAATAATTTTGAAATTTCTAATTTTAGCTCTGGTAACCTGAAAAGAGATTTGAGAACAAAAACTTATAATAATAAATTAGCTAGTCCTAGTAAAAAGCTCTCTCCTCTACCCCTCACTGAATCAGAGAAACAAAACCAAAATAAAGGAAAAAGATAGAAAAAGAAAAAAAAATTAGTCCTAAATTCAGAGGTAGAGAAACTTATTTGCCCCCCACAAATGATCATTTTTCTTTTGAACACTAAAAACAACAGGGCCAGTTAGCTTTCAGCCTCAGAACACCTGTAGAAACCAACCATTCATGCTCTTACACCTTACTGGAAGTTAGGGTTAGATCTCCTCAGTGGATGGTATCATAATATCTATGTTAGGCAGAGCAGCTAAGAAACGAACCCCTCTTTAGTTATTATGGTTTCATATCCTGTGTTTATTGTGTGGGGAGTTGAGGGGAGTGCATGTTCTTACAGTTTCTAGTATCAATACTTATATAGATGCAATTAGCAAGAATGACAAAGATCTAGAAGCTATGAGCCTATCCTAGGGCTCCCTCTAGCAATTTCTCTACCTCTATCCAGACAAAGCTCCTCATGGATGATAAAAGAATATAACCTTCTTCTCCTTGATACGTAAAAACAAGATTTAGGTTTGGGACCTTACCAGGATCTGAACTTCATCAGACAGTTCCAACAAATTCCCCTCAAGCTGCCCAGAGGAACTGTTCATACGGCGGACAGTGACTTTGATACTGGTGCGACCAGCTGCTTTTGTGTGGACAACCATGGCAAAGTTATTCTCTACTGGGAGCTGTAGGAAAACCTGGAAGACAGTTAGGAATGGATTAAGAAATATTCATTAATAATCACTGTGCCCTTCCCTCTGTGTTGTTATGATAAAGAAAATGTATGCTAGATAGATCTGTATAAAATAACTAGAGTACCAGGGATTATTTTCATAGTTATTTCTTTTCATATTCCCAGCAACACAGTCACCCCTCAGGTAAGCTCTGTGTATAGCACTCAATTAATTCTGGCAAGCCTCTCTGACAGTCTCATGTTATCTTGAAGTCAATCCATTCACAGGAGAATGAAAATGAAGAAAGGGGTTTCTAAAATGGCTTCAGAGAGTAGAACTTGAATTGGGAGAAGTGAGACAATCTACCCCTGGAGTTCAGAGTGGTAGCAAGGAAGGAAGAGGACAAGAAAGGAGAGCTATTTCAGGATTATGCTCACCCTAGTGGACCATCTCCCTACTGCTTCCCCACCACTCTGGCCCAGACTGGATAAGGCCATCGGGAAGGCAGGGCCAACGTTAAGACACATGTTGGAGTAGACACCTGCCTACCTTTGGGGCACTCATTTCATGCCCTCTTTCTCCTGCCTTTTTGCTGTCCAGAGCCTTCAAGACCTTTCTTCCAGTTCTCTTGACTCCAGAGTCCCAAGTTCCAAAATCACCTTTCCCTCTTCCCCTACAGAAAAATTCCCATTTCCTTTATGCAGATCTCAATCAATTGTCTGGAAGGAAGTCTTATGCTAAAGAACAAGTGGTTTAATAATATGTTTGATCCAAGTGAATCTCTGAGTGTTGACACCACATGCAGGAGACCTCCATGTGGGGCCGGCTCAGCTCACCCTGCAGGATCTGAGGCAGGAAGAGAAACTCTGTGTATGGCTCTCAATCACTTTTCCTAGAGACAAGAGTTGGGCTTTAGATAAAATTGGAGGAAGGGAGAAGTAGAACAGATGCTAAAGGCCTATGCCAGCCCCTCATTTCATACAATCTCTGTTTGCTAGTCAAGAAAGAGAGCTGAATTCCTGTGCAGAACTCTGCCAAACTAAGTACAGTTCCATCTCTCCTCAATTCTGAGTATAAGCAGGCTCAGGGAAGTCCACAACAGATAGAAGACCCAAACACCAGAGTTTCCCTAGACTACAGATCTAGGATATTTTTAGAAGGATTACAAATAGATTTTGTAACTTTTTTCAGACTTCTCTTTTCTTTTTAGCTGGCTCCAGAAATACCTAATTAATTCTAGCTCCTGTAACCTCTCTGTTCTCTCCCAAGATCTACCTCTAACTCTATTCTTGTGGGCACTGAGTCGTGACCTACTGGGTAACTTGGCTGCAGGTTCCTTCTTCCTAAGGATCTAGGCAGCTGCCACTGTCCCCAGACCACCCTGGGTGGGTTCTCTCAAACTGACCATCCGGTAACAATATTGTAAACGAGGTAAAGTTAGCCTGTAGCATCCCCTGCCTCCCTCCCTCCTCTCTCTAATTCTTTTTCAGGTTTCTGAATAAGGCTTAATGCTGTGTGCATTACGACATCAGAACTATTTTCACTTATCACAGAGCATAAGCTCACCTCAGAGCTACCGCAGGTTCAGTGCCAGGCCACCACAGTAAAGCAAATGTTGCAATAAAGCGAGTCAAATGAATTTCCTGGTTTTCCAGTGCACATAAAATTTACGTTTACACTATACTATTAGTCTATCAGGTGTGCAATAAATAGCATTATGTCTAAAACAATGTACATATCTTAACTAAAAATACTTTATTGCTAAAAAGTGCTAACCGTCATCTGAGCTTTCAGTGAATCATACTCACTGATCAATCACAGGTCACCATAACAAATAAAATAATAGTGGAAAAGTTTGAAATATTATTAGAATTACCAAACTATGACACAGAGAACAGAGTGAGCAAATGCTGTCAGAAAGACAGCACCGACAGCCTTGTGGTTGCCACAAAGCTTCCATTTGTAAAAACATGCAATATCTGTGAAGCACAATGAAGCAAAGCCCAGTACAGTGAAGCTTGCCTATATATATAGTTTGTATTCATAACGTGTTACTACTACTCGTGGAACATAGTCAAATGCTCATAAGTCAATAGTAAGGGAAACACTGTTTTTGAGAGCTCCTTCCAGCAAAATATATTAAAAATTACATAGCATTACCTGAGTACTCAAATTGAATTCTTCATATGATTTGTAGGTTTCCAGAGTACACAGAACAAGGGGAGGAGATAAGTAGTAACACTGTGTAGTTTAGAAAGTAAAGTCAGTCTCAAACTTGATGAAATAAGGTAAATTACTATCAATGTCCCTGAGATGATATAATAAACAGACACATTTCTACCTCTGAATGCCTGGGTACTAGATCCAATACATCCCTTTTGCTCATGGACCAGTGGAATGTGAGCCCAGGGTTGGCATTGCTGAAGGAGAAAGGGGTCTGGGTACTGGTCACTCCCATGACGTAAACTGGCATCTGAAAAGAAGAAGGAGTGCTGTGCTGGATGTCCTGCCCAGCTGGCATTACCAGAGTACACCGAGACAGAGCCACCGTACTGACCTCAGTTGCTGCGATGAGTCGAGTAGCAGCGGCAAGGATCCTAACAGCCCTTAGCTGAACCACTTCAATGTGCACTTCATCCTGCTCAACAGGTAGAAGCAAGCTTAGGCTAAGAGGGAGTGTCTGTGCAGTGGACAGAGGATGCTTACGATAACTAGTTTGTTGTTGTTTGGGGCATTCAACAAAAACAATATGCCACAGATGTGTTTGTTTTTGTTCCCTGAACAATTCCTTAAGGATAGGGACTAAGTCTTGTAACAATGCCAAATACTCTGTGGGGTTTTTCCCTAAAGATTACATATATCCCATGCTTGGTTAAGAGAATGCCAGGTAAGGGACTCAAAGGGTTTTTCTGAGCTGCTGACACCCTCCTCCTCACCACCCCACATGCCCCAATATGGTTCCCAGATGGAAAAGTGGAAGCAGAGCAGAGCAAAGAACCAATACCTGAGAAAACACAATGACTTTGCCAGTATCTTCATTTACTGTCTGGATGGTGCCATGGACCACAGCTGTGCCAACTACCTTCCCTGTAACCTGCCCCCTCCTATTCACAACAGCCACAGTCTGGTTACTGATAGAGAAGTGAATGATAGATTGGGGCTGGGGGCCACCTTCAGACATGACCTGGAATTTAAACATGCCAGTAAATGAAGGAACATGGGGAGAAATCACATCTCTTTTCCCAACATTTCATCCAAGCAATTTGACCTCTTAGCCTCCCCCACTTCCCAACAGACATATCCCACATCAACTCAAATGCAGAAGAAACGCAAGTGCCACATATGATCTATGGGGTTCCCAGAGGCAGGTTATACCCTGTTCATTAGGGGACAGGAAAGGACTAATTTTCTTTTTTATCAGATCCTGCTGTACTTGGCTGGGAGTAGACAAGAGGAGGCCAATAGGAAGAAGGGGGTGCGTGTGTGTTGGGGTGGGACAGAGCAGGGTGAGGAGAAAGGGTAAATCGTATTTCCTGACTTTGAGATCACCTGCATCATGTTAGTTGGAATCAGTGTCATTTTCTCTGGAACAAGTCTGAATGGAGGAAACACCTTGAAGGAGAAGACCAAACAGAAAACAGGGACGGACTAGAACCAATTTCATAACAAATGATCATGCAGCTTATTCTAAGGAAAAAATCCTACACACAGACATGGATTTTACTTCATTTATAAATATAAATTTTATTTATAATAGCAAAAACTTATAAATGAGAATGCTTAAAACTTATACGTCCACTCATTGGAATAAAAGTGGTCATTAAAGTTATGTTTATAATTATCTTTCTTTTTTACTTTTTTTCAAACATATATAAAAGTAGAGAGAGCAGTATAATGAACTCTCGGTACCTATTACCCAGCTTCAACAACTGCCAACACAGGGCCAACAATGAACTTTTAATGACATAAAAAATACTATTGATATAGGATTAGGATGAAAAAAGCAGTATGATTCATCTATGTTAAAATACGCATGGGGAAGAAATGAAGGATTATTAATAACGAACGGTTGCCTCTAAGTAGTGGAATTATAGGTGATTTTCTTTTTTTTTCTTTTTTTTTTTTTTTTAAAGATTTTATTTGTTTATTTGAGAGAGAATGAGATAGAGAGAGAGCATGAGAGGGGGGAGGGTCAGAGGGAGAAGCAGACTCCCTGCCGAGCAGGGAGCCCGATGCGGGACTCGATCCCGGGACTCCAGGATCATGACCTGAGCCGAAGGCAGTCGCTTAACCAACTGAGCCACCCAGGCGTCCCTATAGGTGATTTTCATTCTGCATCTTTATTATTTCTTTTGCTTTCCAAATTTTCTACAAGAAATGTATTACTTTTATACAGAAAAACAAAAACCTAAAACAAATTACGTATTGTTTCAAGAGTTAGACAACTATCATTTTACTTAGTCAAATAATTTTTAACTTATGCAAAATAAACAGAAAAAGATGAATAAAGCTAAATAAGATGAAGTATTAATTTTGGATGAGATAATTTCCTTACCTCAATCTGGCGAGGAGCCGATGTGAATTTCCTCCCCATCTTGTCCCTGGCAATAGCCACAAGTGTGGTTTGCCCAATAGAGACAGCTCGAAGGATATAATTTTCAGAGTATTCATCCTGTTCCTCCATTAGCCTGCAAAGACATAGGTGTTTTTAGGTAAGAAAGATTTGATTTTGGGGCACCTGGGTGGCTCAGTCAGTTGAGCGTCCAACTCTTGGTTTTGGCTTGGGTCCTGGTCTTGGAGCCATGGGATGGAGCCCCTTGCCAGGCTCTGCACGGAGTCTCCTAGTCCCTTTCCCTCCCCCTAAAGTCCCTCCCAAAATAAATACATAAAATCGTTTAAAAAAAAAAAAGATTTGATTTTAAGAGTAGCCAGTTATGCTTCTTTCTAAGATGCATAACATTTTCTGTTCATTTTAACTCTAGTTAAAGGGAATTGCCAGAAAATAAATTTCCAAAGTCAAGACAAAGTTCATGGCAATGGCAGGAAGCTCCTGAAGGCGAAATACTTGTTCTAAGGCCCCAGAGGATTAAGGGCAACATAAACATAAGACTGGCAAAACTGCAAATACTAAAGCACCTTGGAATTTCTGTATTCTCCTTTTGCAGAGGGAATACCAGCACCTCTGCTTCTAGATAGATTTTTGAAGGTCCTCCATCCTGAAGCACCCTAGAGGATACTATCCAAGGAGAAGTTTCATAAAATGGAAATACTCACAAGACACGTGAGTTTGTCCCTAAACAACCGTTCTGAGGACGTGGAAGGGGTACTTTGTAGAGAGCCGAATATGGCGGGAGACTACGGGCCCAAAGAAGAAAATCCGGGGCGCCTGGGTGGCTCAGTTGGTTAAGCGACTGCCTTCGGCTCAGGTTATGATCCTGGAGTCCCGGGATCGAGTCCCACATTGGGCTCCCTGCTCGGCGGGGAGTCTGCTTCTCCCTCTGATCCTCCCCCTCTCATGCTCTCTGTCTCCCATTCTCTCTCTCAGATAAATAAATAAAATCTTAAAAAAAAAACCTGGTAAAACCAGGGGCGCCTGGGTGGCTCAGTTGGTTAAGCGACTGCCTTCGGCTCAGGTTATGATCCTGGAGTCCCGGGATCGAGTCCCACATCGGGCTCCCTGCTCGGCGGGGAGCCTGCTTCTCCCTCTGACCCTCCCCCATCTCGTGCTCTCTCTCTCTGTCTCATTCTCTCTCTCAAAAAAAAAAAATTTAAAATAAAATAAAAAAAAGAAGAAAATCCGAAGTAACGCAGGGACACTGACTCTTGATGTTCCGCCTGGGGAGAAGGAAGTGTTGAGGTGGTACTCACGTCAGGGTGACGATGGCAGAAGCCAACTGCAGTTTAAGCTCCATGTTTCTGAAGTATTTATTTCGGAATGGGCGTTTGGAAGAGCCAAGAACCCTCACAGTTACTAACACAGTTTTACCTATTTCAACCTAGTAGTTAAAAAAGAAAGGTAATTTTAGTAGAAATGTCTCATTCACCAAGTACAGTCTAACTAACTCTTTGAGGGTGACAAACTGTGCTGAATGCTCCTGGTCAGCCTTTTATCGAAAAACCTACTCTACCAGTGCTAATTTATCTGCTCTTCAATACTCTATTCATCTTATAATGTTGGAATGTTGTCCTTTAAGGACAGGTATTTCCATTAACATCACTGAAGGTCCTGCGGCTGCAAGCACAGGAGCCACACAGACTATATTATATAAAGTGAGGCTACAGGGCAAGCATGAGGCCTGCTTCTCTGATGCGAAACTGCAAACGTCTCTCACCTTATCAATCAGATCAAGTTCCAGCTCTTGCATGTCTGACACCCTGAGGTAGGCCACTGCTGGACCCAGGAAAGCCAAGCACAGATCGTAGACCTCCAAGGTGAAAAATCCAGGGTGTACTGGAACTAACTAGAAGGAAGACTACGGCAGCTGGATAAGGAAGCACACATGCTCCAAACATAATCAAAGCAACTATTTTCATTCAAAGCACAAAATAGAACAACTTACTTCCTTTCTGATGGGAACTGAGAGGTCACATTACATGTTTCAGGCACAGCACAATACGCACCCTTAACAAATATTAACTGATAAAGAGCAAGGTTTAAGTTGACTGAATTCAAGCAGAATCCAACATACATATCCAGCTTCTTAATTATGAATAAGGAAGGGATTTCATGAAGAAAGCCCAGTCCATTTATGCTGAAATCACCAGTGGGGGAGGAAGCATGAGAACAACCTGGTTTTCTGTCACATGCTGCAGATCCTGCCCCGAGTAGTAGGTACTTTCACACCCTGTGCACAGTGCTGCAATCTCCCCCCTCTTAAACATTATGACCTTTGAGCTCTTAGAAGGAAAGAAAATATACACATATGTTAATAGAAGGTATTATTTTAATTACTAAAAGTCAACTAAAAGCAAATCCCTTGGCATACTGATTACAAAGACAGCTTAATATATTGAGTTGTCATATCCTGGCTAAAAACACCATATACTCAAGTTATGAAGTCAACAGTACAACTAATTATCCACACTGGGGCACCTGGGTGGCTCAGTCATTAAGCATCTGCCTTCGGCTCAGGTCATGGTCCCAGGGTCCTGGGATCGAGCCCCACATCGGGCTCCCTGCTCAGCTGGAAGCCTGCCTCTCCCTCTCTCACTCCCCCACCTTGTGTTCCCTCTCTGTGTCTCTGTCAAATAAATAATCTTTAAAAAAAAAAATTATCCACACAGTTCTGTGCTTTGAAATTTATAGAAATGAACCTTCTTTTCATGGAAAGCTTACAATTAGATGTCTTCTACACTGTCTCAGTTCAATCAGAAACAAAAATTGCCCAGCGAGTTGAAGGAAAAAAAAAAAAAAAAAGCTTGTTTTGGGTTGGAGAATCTATGAAGGTTAAAAAATGAGGCAGATGTTAACTTTTATAACAAGTCTGAGACATACAATGGAATTTTTCTAATCATTCTCGTAAGGATGAACTTTGACCTGAGACTATCAACTTGGGACTATCTCTAAACCTCACCTGGACAGAGCTTTCTGCTTCCATGTAAGTGACGGTGACAATGTCCTGCTCACTGCTGTTGACCAGAAAATAACCAGATCCTTCCACAAGGCTAAATATCTCCTATGGAAAGATCAGACACAGAACGCTCCATTCTCTTTGGTTTTTAAATAATTCAGAGAAAACAACTACTACCTACTTAAGGAAGAGTATGGGATTAAAAGATTAAGGTCAATGGACCAAAGACAAACTATGATTATTACAGTATTACGACAAAGGATATTGCACCTAATTATTACACATATGTTACATATGCTTATCAGTGCTTTTCAACACATAAGTGAGCTTTTTTTATTGCCATACTATTAATCTCAATAACCTCATACTCGTCCCCTCCAGTCAGACCCCATTTAACTAGACCCCTCCAACTTTCACCTTCACATCGGGGTGGTTATAGATGGTGGCATTCTCGGGCAGTACAGTTACATCGTCCACCAGAAGCAGCTCCACAGCTGCAGATCTGGGCAAGTTGGAAAGTTTCTAGAAATGGAGAAAAACCACAAAGATAAGCATAAACTTTTAACTCCTCAGCTGAGAGAAGATTCCAGTGTTCTTTCACATGCCAAAGATAACAGAATCAGAGAGGTGCACAGTTCTCAGATTTACATTAGTTATAAGTGATTTTTGGTTTTTTTAAAGTTACAAATGAAGAGCCTTAAATTTCAGTGATTTCTATTTCTTACCTCTGGACTTTTCTTCTCGGAGTAGCCCACAAAATTGACTCCAATGAGTACAGTCCCTTTTAACTGATGTACTTTAAGGACCTGATGACCTGGAGACATGAGAAACGATAAGTGGAGAATACAAAAGTGTCTCCAGAAAACCAAATTCTGCCCTAATTTTTTCCAAATGATGTTCTATTGCAGGAAGAAAAAAGTACTTTGTGGGGAAATACACAAGAAACAGAAAACTTGAGTTTTTGTGTTGACTGCTATTATATTCCTATGTGACTCTGGGCAACAGCTTTATTTCTCAGTTTCTTTATTAAATGAGGGATTGGGCCAGGCAAAATCTAAAATTCTTTCCAGTTCTAATGGTCTGTGGGTCCAAACACAGACTGACAACAGTGTATGGGGAAATTTTTGTTTGATTTAAAAATTGGGACTGAGGGGGTACCTGGGTGGCTCAGTCAGTTAAGCATTTGCCTTCAGCTCAGGTCATAATCCCAGGGTCCTGGGATCGAGCCCCACATTGGGCTCCTTGCTCAACAAGGAGTCTGCTTCTCCCTCT